CATCCTCTTCAAAGGGGAGGTTTATTAATCAAGAGTCTACATTAGGTCAAGCACTTTGGAGGAAGTTGGAGGGCGATCATTGTTCTTGGACCAAGCTCTCCACGAACCCAAACCCACCGCTTCCGGCTTCACTTGTCCTATCGATCTTTCGGTGCCAGCGAATTTGAGTGGGACCATCCCATCATTCTGGGGTTGCTCCGCTTCCATCTCGCATTCGAGAAGACACGGGACTGTCACAGAGCTTCGGAGTTGTGTTCCTACTCTGCGACAGGGATTTGGCCAATACAGTACCACGTAAAACATCACCACCATTCACTACCCAGCTTTGTTTTAAACGTGTTCCTCTACTTCAGTGATTTGAATACCATAATAATACCACAATATATGGAAGTTTTGAGGGATTTCCGTGAAACCATCCGTTGTCCATGAGAAAGACAGCTTGAATAGCACCAAGCACCTGCTTAGTATCAGGTATCAGAGGTATTTCTGCTCTGAAGAGAAGGTCCCGTGTTGCTTTCCTCAAGGGAAGGCCAGACGGTTGCTGTGTGAGGGGGCGTGCGTGGAATGTTGGCATGGCATGTTTCCTACTTTGGCATGTTTCCGTGTGCTTCGCTCATCATGCAATCCAGAAGAAAAGAAGCACACGGGCTTCTGCTTACTACCAGGTGTCTCCACTTCCCACAGGCCCAATTCGACCTCTCTTGCAAGCCAGAAGCAGCTTCCCCGCCCCGAAACACGAGAAATACCAGTCCAGTCCCTTCATTCTCCAGGCCACTCATGCAACAACTCTGAGTACAGCATGACAACTTTGTTGACCCTTTCCTTCTGTAAAACCAACATTTGGTGATTCTTGTTTGAATTGCTTCTGAGCGGGAGCACAGGGGTTAGATGTCCACAGTGGTTAGATATGGTGCAGATGCAGGTACCTTTCTTTGTTTGTGTCACTGCTAGTGGCTTTTGACCTGACCTGTGCTCTCTACTACGCATTGATGTTCAACTGACTCGCTGGGGTGTAAGGATCCAAAAACGACCGTTTTTGGCGCCGGGAATCGCCCTGCCGCCGTCATCGGTGGTGGTTTCACAAAAGCTTCCCCAATGGATTGGTCTTCGTTTGATGTATGGTGCATAGGTCTGGCGTAATCTGTGTAATGATGGGTTTGAGGATGGGCATACTGCCTATGGCGGTTAGTGATGGGAATGATGTTCCTCATTTTAGTGGCATGGAAGGAGCAAACTGGTAGCAATTAAATGAAGCTTTCTAGTAACTAGAAGCTACTAGGTGGAGGCCATCGCTACTAGGTTGGAGGCCATCGCTACTAGCAACAATAAAGCATTCTAGTAGGGGTTCATGTCATGGATGCTGTCATGCTCCCTCGAAGCTCAGCTGCATGCTGACTGGAGAACTCCCGCGAAGCAAAATGAGACGAAGCATGGGGGCGTGCGCCTGGGATTCGTGGATGCATGGGGTATGGCCTTGTTTGGTGTATGGGTATGGTTAAATGAATCTGAAAAGGATCTGAATGGACCAAGGGTTCTGGTTACTGGTTTGCATGGCATTGCCATCCAAGTGTCTTTTGGAGTTCCAAATAGAAAACACATGAAAACGCTAGAATGGCAAGATGAACAGTTCCACTGCCCTGGTCTAGACGCAGTTGCTGGATCCTTGTATTTTTTGGTTTTGCCAGTAGATGATTGGTTCTAGTCAGGGCATCCAAAAAGCCTGCATAACTTTGGAGTGGTGAATCAGCCTTTCGTCACTCAGATAGCTAGACACTTGTCAAGTAGTCCTTTGTTCTTCGATCACTCTAGTATTAACATCCAGGCAGGCAACAGCCTTTGCATCACTTGATTCATCCAACAACCGCAGCTTAAAGCCCGGCGCCCACTCAGCCTGCCCTGGGTCACAACCCTCTTTTCGTGAGGCGGGACCGGCAGCAGTGTCCGTGATGGTCATGACAGTCATGGACTTCCCACCAGACTTCGGTGATCCACAGGTCGTACTCAGTGTCTTTTCATGAAAATCCCCTACGTATATTGGCTAAGAAAATCGAAGACAACATGTTGTTTTTTTGACGATGACGATGACGATGATGACGATGATGATGATGATGATGACGATGTGGAGGTGACAACCCATCCAAGACGTACAGCTCCGTACCTTCTGGGACGCTCCCAACACCGGTCCCATGCCCGACGCTCCGTACCTTCCGCGCTCCGTCCACGCTCCAGACGGGGGGGCCATGCTCCGCTGGATGCGCGTGGCGCGGCCGGCCCTCGGCGGCGTAGGCCGGACGGGTGTGCAGAGAGATCGAGGGGTGACGGTCTCGCAAGAAGTACCGGCGTCTGGATTTGTGTGTTACGAAGTGTGTTGGAGTTTTGAATGGACTCCGGACTCTGGATTTTACGGCCATTCAGAATTCATCATGTCACATCAAGGCTTTTGATGGATCACCGCAGGCCGTGATCTTGTTGTTGAACAGTTTCTTGGTGAGAGAGTTTTCAGTTGCTGATTGATGTAGTTGATGGGTCGAACTGGTCTATTTTCTCTGAAAGGATTCTGGATGGGTCGGTGGGCGGGTGGTTGATGGTTCTTGTTTTTCTGCTTACGACGTCACGAACAAAGTAAGTCAATAGGCTCTTCTGGCAGATGTTCTCCAAAACCTCCTTGTTTCATGTTCATGTTCGTCGCCATCTTTGAGCGATCGATATCGGCCTGCTTCCAAAGAAAGCACCAGACGACATAATTCAAATCCAAAAGGAAAGGCCAAAGGCCGCTGGTTGGGTTCTCCCACCCCGCCGCGATGTCCTTGTTGGTCTCTGGATCGGATCGACAGGGGCAAACGCGACGTCGGCGGGCTTGTATTCACCCCAGCGATGTCCGATGCCGTCCAGGGGCGAACCTTCCGCGCCCTTTTCTCAAAAAGACATCTCTTCCAGTGGGTGAACCTTCATGTTCATAGGCTCTTTTCCTTTCCAAAGAGCTCTGGAGTCCACCACTGGAATGGCCTGGTCCCAGCGGGGGCGACCCGCTCCGTCCCCGGTTCCGGAAACACCGCGTAGGCCGGCCGCGACTTCCGCCTTTGAGCCTCTCCTCCAGGCGGAGAGCGGTTTGTGTCCGGCAGTGCCCAGGTTCTGCTGAAGCACAAAAGGTAAAAAAATAGCCACATGGATGTATTTTTTGCGGGTCACTTGAAGGTCCTGGGGGATGTTTTTGGGCACAGTAGTTCAGGTATACTGTGGTTCGTTATTGAGGCTCAGGTCAGTGCTCCGGCCTTTCAGTGCTCCGGTCCGACAAGGCAGGCATTTTCCTCAGTGTACCGTTCATCACCTCTGTCTTCAAGGGGGGCAAAGCAGCTGAAAGCTCCGTTGCCGGAGGCCGCGGCATTGCATGACGCTGCACTTCTTCAAAGAAGGTGAGGACGTCGGTGCCTCAAGGGCTGAGCTCGTTTGGATCGAGCAGTGTCATCCCGGTGGATGCATCCGGGTGGGCCGCCTGCCCACTCGGTGTTCGATGCTAGGTTGAGACCAATGGTTTTCACATGTTTTCACATAGTTTCAGTTGCTCAATGGTGGAATGGTGGTTGCCACATGACTATGGTTCACACAAAGAGCTTGTTTTGTGCAAGGTTTGGCGGTTCTCAACCGAATCGATTTCGGCCGCAGGCGAGCATAAAAGTCACAGCAAAGACGGGGCAGACCATTTTGGAGGACGGGAGTGCAGCAGTTCAGGGAACTTGTTGGAGAACACTTGCGCAGTTTCTGTGACATCATGATTATCATGTAACGCAGTTTGATGAGCCAACCTTTGTACCAGGTGGCTCACGAAAACGACATTGACATTGAAGGGGCTTGTGGTGGAGAATGCGCATGTAGCACCTGCCACATCGTCTTGGAGCAGGCTTGGTGGGAAAACGAAGGAAACAGAAGCTCCCTTTGCTGACTCCATCCAACTCCCTTTGCTCCCGTGCTGGTGCTTTTGACAGTCGTACCTTTGGCGATAAGCTTTTAACAGAACGAGGCAGAACGGAGGCCGTATCAAATGAACATGGGGACAGCAATGAACTCATTTCTCTTTTTTCACTGGTGAATCCTGTAGTCACTGTAGTCACTCTAGCTGGTGAAGGCTGTAGACATGTTTTTGCTTCCTGCCTGTCACTGTAGACATCGTTTCTTCCCTTCGACCCACACAGGAGGCCTATAGCAAACTTCCGGAGCCGGATGATGACGAGGTGATGACGCGGTGAGCATAACGAGCGCGAACTCCTGGAAGGGATTTGGATGTTCCGAGAAAACCCAACCGCCGGTGGCACACCACACCCTTCTGCGTACCACATGTGGATGATTGATGTGATAACGAATCATTTGTGAATGACTCTAGATCTTGGTTTGAAAGTTGAACTCCTAGATCTTCTATTTTACCAAGAGGATCCAAGAGGTTTTGCTTTATTTGGATGATCGACATGTGATGCCCCTTAGCGGTTCCTTTGCCGCGACTCTTTTTCCCTCAACCTCGCACATGAGGCCACTGGCTCTTCTGATCGCTTCTTCTCATCTATCGGGGGACACGTTCAACATGGCAGAAGCCTCCCAATCTTTTCCTTTTTTCGGACTCCCTCACAACGGTTGCTCCGATGAGCGAATGTGATCCTGTCTGTGTACCTGCAGTAGGTGACCCGAGTAGATATCGCACAAGCCAGTTCAGCAAATCTTGAAACCAGATGTCCGGATATTCACTCTATAGCAGTTTGTGTTTGATGAAACACATATCTCCATGTGTCACTTCGTTCCACCGTCCGAGTCTCAGTTTTGCACTTTCACCGTGGGACGACTAGGGCAACATGACACGTGGCGCGCGCGCTTTTTTGTTCCGCGCCAAACTACCGTATTTGCTTCTTGCTACTAGTAGTAATGGCCTCCACCCTAGGAGCGATGGCCAACTTCGAAGAACCCCCAAATCCCTCTCTCTGCGCTGCGGTCCCTTTTTTCGATGTTCAAACATGAGCTCCAAAAGCGACTTCCCTCCGGACGCAAAGACTGCGCTCACGCGCGCTGCTTCCGTCTCTCCGTCTCCACCTGAACGCCATGGGTCCGAAAGTGGCGGTCTTTAACATGGAGATTGCGCCTCCGGTAGAGGTCTTGCGCCGGGCGAAGCCGGACGAGGTGTTTCTTCTGTCCTTCCATTTTTCTTGGAGGTTCTTTGGTGGATGTGATCTGAGAGCTATTTGGAAGCTATATTCTGACAGAGCCTGATGTTTCAGTGCTCTTGTATTAGGTCTATTTAAGAGTTTGGTTCATGAACTGGGACAGCGCGGGCGCGGGGAAGTGATCCGCCGCATTGGGTGAAGATTGAAGAAGCAAGATGGATCAGTGAAGAGACTTGTTGGTTCAATTCCTGGGGTATGATTTGCTGGTTTCTTCGTGGATGCCCTTTTGCTATGCCCTGAAACTGGAGACTATAGACATTGACCATTGAGGAGAGGGTCAAGTGTTTGAAGATATTTGAAGTGGTTTTAGCTCGCGGTCAAAAGCCAGTTCAAGCAGTTTTGTGTGTCCAAACTCTTTTGAGCTATATAAATCATTGTTTCTGTTTTTTCTCTGACTGAATCATTTTACCACCGGAATCTGAGACTTGAAGACTTCTTGTTTTGCTGCCAAAGTCCTTGTGAATCCTTGAAGGCTTTGACGTGTTGATGTTGCATAGTTGATTGAATGTAGTTCTTCCAAGTTGCGCTATGTGATGCCACATTGGAAGGAGGAGATTTCTCATTGACTTATCAATCATCAGTATTGCGCATGACAGAGCGAGTCATTTAACAGGTAGATTTGTCGATCACTGGTAGGTAGATATGTTTTTGTCCCGGAGCAATTCACCGCATTGCATCGTCAACCCTTGCACTTCTCCAGTGATCGTATGGCTTTGATCGTGACAAAGAGTAAACACACAAAAAACATCAAAAAACACGTGCACAGAGACTCTGCAGGCCACGTTCCGAGCGTCCAACTCTATAGTAGCACCTTGTGAGCACGTGACTGGAGAACCGGAGGAGATCGGATGGGAACCTGACCTCTGCTCCACTGAGGTGGGCACGGTGAACCCGGTGTTGCCCGTGGTGAAGGAGCTGGTGTCCAGGGGCTGCGAGGTCCGCTACTACTTCAACAAGGAGAGGGATCCGAGTGAGAGAGATCCGACTTGGTCATGCGTTCCCATCCTTTGGCATCACAAGCATTTCGAGCCTTTCGGGGTACGAGTAAAAACAGCAAAGGAATCATGGACAGAGGTGCTGGCAAATCATGATTCGATCACTGCTTTTGGACAATGCATTGTGTTGTGGTCATGTCAGAAATGCGTTGCCATCGTTTGGCATCACCAGCATTTCAAGAAATGTTCCAGGGACATCCTAATGAATTAGTTCAGCATCTGTTCGACAGCGCTCCCTGTCGGCAGAGGCTAAACTTCGATCTTTTCAGGCGTCGGTCGTCCTGACCTCTTCTCATCCACTTTAGGTTTCTTGCCATCTACCCCTTGCCACACCTTACGCACAACTGATGATGAGGAACTGTTTTTTCCTTTTTTGCTTCCGCTTCGGCTGTTGAATGCTGTTGATATTCAAGAAGTACGCCGATGCGTGTCCATGTAACTTTTGTGTTGGAAAGTTTATGAATGTTCAAAGATGAAGTCCAATTTTCCCTGGAAGCTTTTGGGATGCTGGGGTTACTAAGTCTGACACTAAACTACTTGCTGCTTCAATTGGTGCACTCATGCTTGGAAAATGACATCAGGTAAGGTCATTTTAGGATTTTCCAATTTATCTCAGGTTCTTTGATTTAGGCTACCCTGCAGGTCCCCCCTTCAGAATGGACAGCGTTATCGGTTCTAAAGGATCCGAAACGGTCTTGGAAAAGGATCATCACCAGGTGAGGAGAAGATCTCTTCTTTCATAAAGAGTTCACTCACATTTGCTCCTTTTCGAAGAGAGGCTTTTTCAATTCCATCTTCACATTTTTTGTGAGCCTTTCGGTTGGCGAGAGCCGGGGACTTTGGAATGAACGAGTTCGTCCGTAATGACTTCAGAGCACAGCCAGATTGGGCCGATGGTGCTGATTCCCAGAACGCTTGACCTTTACTCTTCCTCCTCCTCCTCCTCCCTAGAACCACATCGTTCGGTTCTACTATGCAGATAGTCTTTGAACATCGGGAACCAGAGCCACACTGGCAGAACGCAGAAGAACCTCCCAGACTTTCCTTCCTCCACCCCTTCATCAATAGAAGCATTTCTTCCACTCCCTTCACTCCCTTCAGTGGATCGCAGCAGATCCAGACCTGACCTTTCCCTGACAGGAGACCTACGTGAAGGACCTCCGTGCAGCTGGAGCTGAGCCCGTGAAGTTCGACGACTACTTCCTCCGCTGGGACGAGCTCTATCAGGTCCCGTGCGGACGGACCGCGCCGGATCGGTGGCGGACGGGGTGGAGAGGTGAGCGGAAGGAAGGGTTTTGAGATCATTTGGGTCCGGTGTGGTATAATACTAGGAACAGGTGCATCGCTACTAGTAACAAGTGCCTTACTAGTAGTAACAAGAAGCTACTAGTAACAAGTGCATCGCTACTAGCTTTTTTACTGTATATTGTTTCTACTAGCTTCTTGTTACTACTAGTAAGGCCCTTGCTCCTAGTAGCGATGCACTTGTTCCTAGTACCTTATTGTTTCTATATAAAGGCTTTTTGAAGGTGTTTCTAGAAGTTGCAAGGGTCAGGTGATGTGTCAACAAAGGTGCAAAGATGAGGGTGTCAACTAAGCAATTTGGTGGATTCTAGGTGGTTTAACAGGAAATCTTAATCGTTTTGAGAGGGAGACAACATGAGACAACTCATCCTGCGACCAGACGTCACCTCCTATCAAGATGCTGAGCTTCATCTGAGAAGCTTTGAAAGTTGGGTCTTCTCTTCTTTGGTCCAAACAGTCTTGGGTTGTTCCTTAACCACTTCAGGTCCAAGGAGACCGGCGTCCCACACGAAAGTAGGGCCGTCGCAGGAGGAAGCTGAATGGCTTCATCGCCATGGCTATGGTCCAGAAGCCATCAAAGAACTTCCCTCAAGTGAGGGGACCATGGCTGCTCGGTGAAGTGAGAAGGAGCTAAGGATGGAGACCAAACAGTGTCGATCAAGGGCACGTCTTTCTTTTTTGGGATGTGAAAGTTACGGATCCCAACCCAGGAAGTTATCAGGGTGATCAATCCCGTTGGACATGAACTACGTATGACTATGACCGGTTTATTTTTCTTACATGCCAGCCCATACGGCATTTTTGTGATTACATGCCTAGTTCCAAGAGAGTGTTTGGACCTGCAGGGCATGCGCAGCTTGTGCCTTCATGCGCAGCCGAAGGGTTTCAGCTGAGGTCTCCAGGATGCTGTTGAACTGTCTGCCTGCAGGCCCTGGGTCGTTGCGTCCTCACCAGTCGTCACTTGTGGTTCTCGGTGTAAAGGACATCCATTCGACGTGGATAGGTGGAAATTGATGACCACCGCGGGTATGTTGTAAAGGGAAGCTTTTAAGACCAGCGCTCATTGCTGTCATCCCACAAGCCATAGGCGCCATAGGCGCCATGTGCCACTTCGTCCTGCTGGACCTCAACGACCTTTCAAGTCGAAGCAACGCGACCTTTCAAGTTTCGAATCCCGGCCCAGTCGATTCGCTACTAGTAACAAGGGCCTTACTAGTAGTAACAAGAAGCTAGTAGAAACAAGAATTAAAATGAATTAAATAGAAACAAGCTAGTAGTTTCAAGTTTCGATTCCCCTAGGCCCAGTCGATTCATCAAAACTTTTGGTAGCTCTCTTTCTCTCTCTTTCTCTCTCTCTCTCTCTCTCTGGAGTTCTATGTATGACTCGCTCCGGGGCCACCTGAGATCTCATTGCGGAAAGAGGACATCCGAGCTTCAAGTGATTTTGGAGTGGCCAGAGATCGAATTGGTCACCATGTGTGCAGGCATGCAGGTCATGAAAGGCAAAGCAAAAACATCCACTGGTGTAGGGATGTGGAGGTTTCCCTCCTTTGCAAACATCTCAACATGAAATCACATGAACAAAAAATACCCAAAACGAGGTCAACCTTTCAGTGCTGCTCCAGGTCCGTCCGTGCTCATCAGCGCCAAACGCGCGGAATCGCTCGTGCTCCCTCCACGTGCCAGGCCTTTGCCTCACGAAGCGTCTCAGCAAGCTCTGGCAGGATGCCTGGCGTCCGGACGTGGACGCCCGGCCCAAACGACCGATCCGTCCACCGGTCACGGTCGACTCGCCGGTGGTGCGGCGCCAGCGCGGGTGAGAGGCATCCACGGAGGAAATCCGTTGGACGGGTCGGGTGTTTTCTGTCTCATTGGCATCTCTCTCCGCCAAAATACTCTGAAGCCATGTGCAAGTGGATCACCAATCCAAACACTCACTGGCTCAAACTGGCTCAAACTGTCTAGGAGTCTAGGAAAGACCCCAATCACCAATCCGTATTTTGTTTGCATGAACGTGCTTTGCTCTCTTGGCACCCATGAGCCTACGTGGATCTTCTCAATGTCTCAGGACTCTCCACGTGTGGAAATGCTGACGTTTTCCACATGGTCTTTTCGCAAGACCCAACTGCCCAAGACCCGCATTGGGCATCTCACTTCATGGACCCCCATACACCTCAGCTTACGCTGGTATCCATGAGGTGCTCTACAACGTGATGCTTTTGCATCCCTTCTTGGCGGCCAAGCAGTTGGGCATCCCCACCGCCTCCTTCTCCACCTATCCCGGGCCAGGCGCACGCGCCAGCGCGCCATGCGGCAAGCGCAGGGCTGCGGCTGTCTTCTCTAAATTTGCTGTATAGAAAGACTATTGACAATGTGAAGATATCTACTCGGGAGGAAACCACTTGCCAGGGATACTCTTTGCCAGAAGCCACTTCCAGATGTGGTTTTATGTCATGGCACCTTGCAGCGGGGGGTAGGAAGCTACTAGGAACAAGTGCATCGCTACTAGGAGCAAGGGCCTTACTACTAGTAACAAGAAGCTACTAGAAACAAGTTGCATACATGCTAATCCTCTCTCTCTCTCTCTCTCTCGCTGGCCACTTCTCTCTCTCTCTCTCGCTTTCAACGGGCTGATCACCGGCATACTCTGGTCACTTTCTGACGTGAAGATTCAACCTCTAAAAGGGGATGTTGAACCGCTCGCTGCAAGAGGCAGACTTGGATGGTGAGGAAGTGTTTCCCTTGAGACTCTGCACATGACTCAAGATAAAGTCTTGTTGGTAAAGAGGATTTCTCTTTTTTCCTCCTCAAATTATACAGACCTCTCTTCCTTTCTTTTTGGCACTTTGTCCTTTCACAGTCCTCCCCGGTCCCATTGCTATCTCATGCGAGGCACTCCTATGCACCTCTACCAGCAGAAGTTCGAGGAGCGTGAAGCCTACGACGAGCAGCTGGCACGTCATCCTGCTGTGGCGCCGGTGGGGCGGGTGCCGGAGAGGGAGGATCTGCTGGATCGCGGGATCTCTGCTGCAATGGGAGGCCAAGCCTTCCACAGCCTTTCAGTATTACTTGCTATACAATTATCGCTGTTATTGATGGCATATACTGAAGCTTTGGAGCTCTTGCTGCCATAGTAAGTTTCTGTTTCTACTTCCAGAAGACCTCTCAGGGGGCGCAAACAACTGCATCGAAGTTCCATGAGCAAAGCACCTCGTCGCCTCACGGCCGAGCTCCGCCCTCCGCGCGTTCCGCGCGTTCCGCGCGTTCCGCGGCACAGGCGAATGCGTTGGCCGCGAAGCTCTTCGGCGTGGACGTCCTCCAGACACAACTGCCGCCGGGACCGCACGCGACGTCCTGCCACCGGGACCGGTCCGTGGGCGATGGGAAGTCCGGTGAGTCTCTAGAGGTTTTTGGGGTTGAACCGAGTCTCTATAGATGTCTCAGTTCATGGGAAATTCCTCATCTTTTTTCGTGTGGAATCGCCGCTCTGACCACAATTCAGCGGTTGATTGGAGGATTTTGGAGTCCCTAGCAGGGTTTTTGGAGGGAAGCTCCATGGCCCGGTTGCTGGTGGCTAGTGGTTGCCTCAGCAGTCTTGCAAATACCTATATGATTGATTGACTATATAGGTTGGTGTTTTTTTTAAATACAGAGGTATCGTGAGTGACCTGGTCCCTTGGCACTGCAAGGCCCCCACGCACTCGATGCATCGCACCCCATCCATCGAAACGGATCGGCTTCTGGTGCATCGAAGGTTGGGCCGCTTCTTCAGTGATCAGATCAACATCGTGCAGCGAGTCCGAAGATCATCGTGCAGCGATGGTTTCGCACGAAGAAGGAGGTGATAAGAGCATGAGAGAGCTAAGAGCTTGCGATCCAAAGGGGGGGCTTCAAGCCTACCGTGACGAACCGTTGCTAAGCTAACGCAGCTCATCTTTCAAGCAGTGGTTCTCTTATTCTCAGAAAGCTCAAGGGGTTCCCATGCGTACCTGCGAAGCTATGGGCGATCTGGGACGAACTCTGTGACGGACCGACAAAATGAATGACTGAGATCTCGAGGCACCGAAATGGATAAAGCTGTAGATCCAGAAATAGATGTATACAGCGAACTCATTCAATATGGAGTTGGGTCGGATGTCCAAAGGCTTTTTATTGCACCAAACATGTTCCTTTCAACCTGCTTAAACATCAAGCTGAGAGCCTCTGAAGAGGCTTTCATGTCCAGCTATACATGCCAAGGTTCGTTTGATCGATCCTGGAGGCGACCACACGCCCAGCCCCTGACATCTCCTGCCAAGGGTTCTTCCGATTAATTGGATCGGTACTTGACACATGACTCAGCTCTGTTGATGGTGCGCTGATAGTGCGCAGTTACTCACAGTCCATCAGCCTGTTTTCATTCTGATCTACCCAAGATCCTTGTGTTGCACTCAGCGGTTTTGTTGCCGTCGCGGTGTGGTTTCGTTGCCCGAGGTATTCCATCCCTCAGCTGCAAGGCCTGGTGAACGAGAACCAGTCGCTCGATGGCACGGCTCTGGTGGAGTGGTGAAAGAACGGGATATGGGGTGAATGCGTAAGAATTAGAATTGTTACTAGTAGTAACAAGTGCCACGCTAGTAGTAACAAGTGCCTTACTAGTAGTAACAAAGAGCTATTAGAATTAAAATTAAACTAAATTAACTAGTAAGAATTTAATTAGAATTGTTACTAGTAGTAACAAGTGCCACGCTAGTAGTAACAAGTGCCTTACTAGTAGTAACAAAGAGCTATTAGAATTAAAATAAAATTAAACTAAATTAACTACTAGCTTCTTGTTACTACTAGTAAGGCACCCTGTTACTACTAGCGTGGCACTTGTTCCTACTAGCAAAGGATCCACAGATGAATCTGCATATGATTTCAGTTTTCAGGCTGTGGAGATTTGATTCATACCAATTCATACCCAAGTGACTAGTGGCACCGTAGGTGACCGAGGACTACTGATCAACGAACACCCGAGTACTAGTGGTAAACGCAGCATCCTTGCATCCTTGCATCCAAAGCCAAGAGTCTTTTCTGACATGTTCTGACTAGTTATTCCGCATCATTCTTTGTCCTTCATGAATCCTGCTCCTGTAGAACATCCCTCCTCTCCAGCCAATCTATTCGCCCAGGCGACAACGATTGGAGGGTTCGGCCTTCCATTGGGTGGGCGCCACTGACCCTCAGCTCTGTGGGGAAACTCAGACCACCTGGAGAGTTCGCCCTGGGGCCGCTGGTTGCCGCGGTCGGAGCGACTCAAGCCGAGGCGGTCTTGTGCCACGTGTGGAGAGTGCCGATGCTGAGGCAGGATAGAAGACCTGGCTTGGTGGGACGTTTCCATTCGATCAGATGCTTTGAGAAGTTTTCATGTGATCCCTGAGTTCGGCATCAGACAAGGCTCACCTGGTTTCTGGATGTTTCTAGGTTTTCTCAACCTGTTGAAGATGATCAAAGGCACACTGGTGATCACTGGTGTCTCCATGTTGTTTGCTTGATGAATTCATCTGAGTTCTTTAGGTTATCAGGGCAGGAATTTTAGAGTCGGGGAGTTGGAGAAAGAAATGGCAACTTAATCATGCAGGTTGGACGTTCTGGAGAGACAGCTGCGAAAACTAAGTTTACTGATGCCATCGATGCCAAAGAGGTCGTGTATCATCATTAGCATTTCCTGATGCACAGCACCTTTGAGAGATGCTGGGAATATCGTTCGCTTGGCATCCCGCGTTGCGATGAAGCGCTCCATCGCCCAGTTTCCGAGCTGCACAGGAGATGACGCGGCTCCCGGGGATGAAGGCCCAGTTCTTGTGAAAATCACGGGAAGATGGAGAAAAGACCTTGGATGTCATACATTGGGATCCAATATCTCTTCCCATTAGGTTGCCTCTCCACCTGGAAGAATAGAGGAGAATTCTCCAGGTTTGAACAGTGAGTGATTGAGTGTATTTCGCGTTGGACATGCCCAGAGAATACTTGCCACATCGGTTGTTCGAGATCCCTCTATCGAGCCTGGTCACTTTTGAGATGAATCATCTGAAGGAGCTAGGCCGTTCATGGTCTAAGAAATGCCAGGTCTCTTTTCCACAAGTTTCCGCCTTCCAAATTGGCCACACCCGCTGCCGGCGGTGCCATTGTTCAGGGTGGATTGGTGCTCCCAACGAAGCCTTTGCTGTGCCAGTAGTGGATCATCCCGCGCTTAGGAATTGGCAAATCCCTCTGAAGACTCTGCGCTCAATTCCCAAGTGGCAGTTGGATATGACACGAGGATTTGCCCACATGGTCATGAGGATTTGAGCCAAGAATTCAAACGGCGGTATAACGTGCAGAACTTGGAGGAACGAGGCAATAAAGAACCACCATTTCAGCCAAGCAATTCCAATGAACAAAATGGCGGTTGGAAGCCAAGAGGGTGGCCAATTCCAACCACTTCGGCCCCGAAGCGAAGAGGGCTACTTCATCCCGGACAGTGAATGGGATTCAGGTGCAGTCGCTACTCCATCGCATCGCCGGTGCGACAGGTGGTGTTAGTGTCCTTGGGCAGCTTGACGGTGGAGTGCCGGTGGGACATGCCGGAGCACGTGTCGCTGGGCTGTGGACTGCAAGTTCTTGGCTTCTTGTTCCCAGTAGCGTCCTTGTTCCTAGTAGTACGAGCCCCTCCCTAGTAGCGTCCGAACGCTCCGTTCGTAGCGATGCCAGGAGTCCCTAGTAGCTTCTAAAGTATTCTTCTGGATTCTGATGCAACAGCTGGTCTTCTTCGACCATTTTTGGGATATGATGCCCCCTTACAGATTGAGCAGGCACTGTCAAGTCACATCGGAGTTGCACTCAGCTGCAGACATGTTGATTCTGCAAGTGAAGAATCTCGGGAACAAGAAAAACAGGTTTGCTTCTACTTTAGAAGCTACTAGGGGCTCCTGGCATCGCTCCTAGGAGCAAGGACGCTACTAGGGGCTCCTGGCCGTACTACTAGGAACAAGGACGCTACTAGGAACAAGCTTGTTATGAATCCTCAGCGAGGAGCGGCTTCTTGCCGTTGCGAGGTGCGAATAGGTCAACGCGCACATAATAGATGGGCGAAGGACACCTTTCAATAGGGTCTCCAAGTGCCAGGAAGCACATTGAGCTTTGACTCACAGTGATCTTGCACATCTCAAAGGATCCAATAGAAATCAGTAGATAAACCGATAAACCTGACATGACGTGGGCAGACATGTGTTACTTGGAGGATGATTCTCTTTTTGGCAGTTCACTGATGAACCAACACAGATGAGCTGTATAGCTTGAAGGAGGACCTAGGAGGAGGAGATAGGTAGGACTGTTTGCTTTGTTTCAAGTCTTTTACAGCCAGACCTTCCCGTGGTCCGCCTTCGAGGTCTTCGCTGGGACTCATCACTGGCAAAGACTTCAGCCAGCGCCTCTGGAGCGAGCTTTTGGACAGCTTCGGTGGGCGTGCCGTGTTTGCAAGAGGAGATGAGTCGAGGGCGAAATCAACGCGTTGGTTTGTCGGTTTACAGTAACGTTGTTGAATCTGTTGCCTTGAACCTTTCAACCTCCGGAAAAAACTTATCTAAGTCTTAAAAGGAAGGGGCTGGCGTTCACTGCGAGGTAAGACTGGTAATCGCGCCCAAGATCTGCAACACTGGTCAGTTTATCAACCAGTATCAACCATGGCAAGTAATAGACACTTACCCTTTTGCCGGGCAGTGCTACGAGTACACGTCCTGTCGCTCCTTGTCCCACCCGAAGCGAACCACCGCTCTGCTGAGGCAGCGACGTGCAGGTGATCCTGTCCATTGGCACCCGGGAGGAAGCACGAGAGCTCTTGGGAGCACCTCGGACGCGCAGAGGGCGCGCAGAGGGAGGGATCTCAGACGTCACGAGGAATTTTTGACGTGGTCATCTATGGTCACTATAAGAAAAAGAAGAAACAGTAGTAGTAGTAACAGGTGCCACGCTAGCAGTAACAGGTGCCTTACTAGTAGTAACAAGAAGCTACTAGTAACAGGTGCCTTAAAAGAGGTGATTTCTGGGACTATAAGTTGGTTGTCTCAAGCCAACTCCAGAAGGGAGCCAGTTGTATCAGCGGGGGAATGCGGGATCCATCTGTAAAGATGCTGGTCCCGTACTTTGTCTCCATTTCACTCCGTGTAGGGCTCATTGGCCCCAATTTGCAGCGTTTAAGTCGGGTGGCCACTGATGCCGGCGACATGGTGCCAAGACAAGGATTGAAATACAGGGTTTGTACCTGGTGGCTTCCAGTTTTAATGAAGAACCGTGTAAGACCCAAAGATGGAAAGAAGTGGATATCCTTTATTAAAGTTAATAAAGAACATAAGATTACACCTTTAGAATAAGAGAAGAAGCATATACAAATTGTAAAGTTGTAATGATAAAACCGCATGCCCGATCAATCTCATGACGACATGGCGTCAGACCGTTTAAGGAGCACCTTCCGTCGTCAGTTTGGAGTTTTGGAGTTATCAGTAGAGCTGCCCCAAGTTCGATCGATGAAAGGTGGTTTACAGGTCGACGACCGTCTGAAGCCTTGAGGATCTGCCCTCGAACTTCTCTGCTCAGACCTTCTTGGATCAGGCGCGATCTGGGCGCCGCCCGGAGCGAACGAGGCGCCCGTCCAGCGGACCAGCGTTGGAAACACCACGGTCCATCCGGTTGGAACCTTGAAGGAAGACACCAAGGGCATTTTCTTATATGTCAAGACATTTGGCCGGGGCATTCCTGGTGTTACCCTTTGACCACTTTGGGTCAAGCCTGCACCCGAAAGCTTGATGTGGAGTCCACCCACAGATGCGGATCCGCACAGATCAACGCCTTGAAGAGCGCGGACCTTTTCATCACTCACGGCGGCGCCAACAGCATCAAGGAGGCGATGTTCGCAGCGGATCCGCGCAGTTTGCCGCACTTCGGCATCTCTTTTCTCTTAGCTTCCTGTTCCCAATAGCTTCTTGTTCCTAGTAGTACGGCCAGGAGCCCCTAGTAGCGTCCTTGCTCCTAGTAGCAATGCCACAGGAGCCCCTAGTAGCGAACATTGTTGTTTCACCACAGTGTTGCGCTGGCTTTGAGCCGTGAAGTGCAAGTGACGGGCAGCATAATTTTTGGCCGCTGGTATCCACTGCTACTCTCCGTCCACCGAGTGTCTCACATCCAATCGCCAGCAGCCAACCTTGGAGGCTGAGCGATGTTTTGGGTCGCCTCCCATCGTCAATGGCAATCACTGTCAAACAATGTGGGTTGTTTGGAGAACCGCAGACTTGAAGGATTGTTCGACCAACAGATCGTCCTATTTGGGTGACAACGGGATCTTCGTCCATTGACGCCTGATCCTCACGCCGCGCCGCTCCTTCCTCGCTGCTACCTCCACGGATCGCTCGTTCGACAGGCCACCTTGCTGGGAGTGCCGATGATCGTGACGCCCTTCTGCGTGGACCAACCGACCAACGGTGAGGCCGGGCCGGACCAAACTCCTCACTGCTCGGGTGGAATGAGTCGTTTGAGACAGGCTGTGAGACATGAGGTTTCCCCGAAAAGGGCTGGCCATGTTTGATTTTTGACGAACTTTAAACAGGCCAGGGACAGAGGTAGTTTTTCACTTAGGTTGTGACTGCTTAAAAAAGAGACGTGCGGCCAATGATTTTTGGAGTTTTCTTCTTCTATGTTGTAAGTTTGGACGGCGGCCAATAACTCGCTTTCTCGTATGGAGCACATGAGCACATCAGCACGCCACCAAAGCGGTAGCCACGCAGCAAATGGTGACCCGGTTGTTCATAAATGTATAGACGTTTATGCATTACTTACAATTTTTTGCTGCGCCCATTGCCTGCCAAGTTCTGCCAAAACCAACATGACATGGTGTCCAGTTCTTTTTGTGTTTGTATTTTGGCTGACAGGATGATGCAGGATGTAAAGCACATCTTAATTGTTCCCCCTTTGGGGGTGGGTGGGTGGGTGGAAGTAGCAGAGTTCGATTCCACCGCAAAAGCCGCAATCAGCTCTCCCCTTCTCTTCGCCCCGAGGCCATCCAACGCTACGGCGCCGGCGTGTGCTTCTCCGATCTCATGGCCACGCCGCGAGGCCGAAAACTCGGATGCGGTCGCGGTCGGTGCCCGGGAGGCGGTGCCAAACGAAAGAAAGCGTATTTCAATTGGCGTTTTCATAGTTGTTTTTTCCGTGTTTCTATCAATGATTCTTGGCATCTTCTATCAGCTACAATTCTCGGCAATTTTGTATCATTTGGTCATTTTTTGCTTTGAAAGACGATGGCTAAAATAAGAACAATTTGTGTTGCTCTTCCGTTGCCTATTCCAGTGTTTGCTGGATCCATGATAGTTTGCCTACTGTGGAGCTTGTGGGCACGACGTGGGCAGTGCCATGGGAGACCTTTGAGCGAAGAAGAGCACCAGATTGCCACTAGGTCTAAGACCAGCTTTGCCCGAAAATTGCTGGTTTTTCTACCTGGCCCGAGTTGAACTGCCCGAGATTCTGGAGATTTGCCAAACATGTAGTTGACTAGTTCTGGCCTCAAGTCCATCCTTACAATCCCTTCTCCCTGCTTACTTGATCAGCGTTTTTCTTTCAAGTGCCAAAGACATGCCAACACCCAACTCCTGGGAAGTGCTTGCAAGCCTCCACTTTGCTAACTCCACTCTTGGCTACTCCAAAAACCAAAACCAAAACCCCCCAGAAACTCCAAGGACACTACTAGGGGCTCCTAGGAACAAGAAGCTAGTAGAAACAACAAAAAGCTAGTCGAATTTAACTATAACTTAAAAACAAAAAAAGCCATTAGTAGCAAAGGGCCTTACTACGAACGGAGCATTCGGACGCTACGAACGGACACCTCCAAGTTCCGCTCCGAACGCTCTTTTGCCGCCAGGCGAGCTCTCCCGTGCCGTGGAGCACGGCCTGGGCGGCGCGGCGCTCGGCTGGCGCCAGCGGAGCTCCGAGCTCGGAGAGGCCGCGCGGTCGGTGTGGCAGCGGATGGGGGGGGCAGGTTCCTTTTCTTTGGGGTTCTTTACCCATGTGGTGTTTATGTTGTTGTTTTAGATGGTGACTTCTCCAGAAAAGGGACGTTATTTGATTAAAGTGTTCCTTTTTGATCGTTTCTTGCTCTCCTTTTTTGGGGTTCCGCGTGAATTGCCGGATTGAAACGTAGTGGATTGATGGACGATCCAATGCATGTCAAAATTAACCATTGTTGAAGCTTGCACAGTGATTGCTTCCTGACTTTGGGGCATCAAAGGAGGACATTCAGGTAGGAGGACATTGCTCCTTTCACCTTCACTGATTCACAAATGTGATTCGTAGATGGATCTGGAATGAGATAGTGTGACAATACTGAAACTATCCCGTGGAAAACTAACATGGACCCTGAAAACCACATGGACCTCTAGCTAGAGGAAACCAGTCTGAGGGTTCCATTCTCAGCGTCCATGTGCGTTTTCGGGAGTCTAACTGGTACTAAAAGCCGCTTTGATAGGAAGAGACCAGAAGTCTCGCTGGACCCAACTGGATCAGCACGGAGGTCCACCTGAGTGTCTCAGGCCTTGCGACGAGCTGGTGGTGCGCAAGCGGCTGCAGAGGCACCCGTCGAGTTGGGAGAAGATCTCATAGATTATGCTGCCAAAATCTCATTGAGAAGGGATACACACAGCCAAACCGGCAAATCTTGCTTGGCCACTCTTTCTTCTCAAATCTGCCTTGGAACACCTGAAGTCACGTCAGAACGTCAGAGGGTCGCACGAAAGTTCGGACGTCCGTACCGGCCGCATCTCGGGTGGATCTGGTCTACATCTCCAGTCATATAATGGCCAATTCCATCCAATTCCAATCTCCATCACTGGCCGGCAAATCGGCATGTCTTTCTGGCCGAACCCCCCGGAGGCGTGTCTTTCTTTGCTTTCTCTCCGCGCATCCGCGGGCGGCGCATGAGAGCGCTCCCGAGCGACTCGGCGAGTCCGGGCGGAGGGTCCGGGAGTCGGTTTTGGGACCAAAGCGTGGACCCCTCCGGTTCGACGACTGGATTCCAAACCTCTCTTTTTGTTCTGGAAGGAGGTGGGCCGGAGATGGGAGTTGTTGTTGTTACAGCTGTTGTTTTGGATTTGTGTGTTGTCATTGGATCATTGAGGAACTTGGACATGGGCTTGTTGTGGTGGCCCTGCAAGTAGCATGTTGTGGGCGGGCAGCAACTAATGGGTGCTGTTCCAGAGGTGGTGTCCTACCACAGCGTCCTAACGGTGTCCTAACATCTTCATGCATGTTCTCGCATCCTCTTTCTTGCATGAAGATGTTAGGACACGAAAAACATGAAATCATGTCCAATTTGCACCTGCCTAGGTTAATGTGTTTTTCTTGTCTCACCATCTTAGGACACTCTCTTCCTCTTTCACACCATCGTCTTCGGACCAACGAACCCGTGCGGACCGGAACGAACGTGGACCGACGTCTCGCGACGCACGGCACGCAGATGGACCATCTCACATGACGTGGGCAAGGTTGTTGTGAATGGTCCGCAGCAAACGAATTGGATGCTAATCACTTTGTTCTTCATAACACGTTCATTCACCTGCAGATCTGGGCCCGCCCAGCAGATTGCCCTTCAGACCATTTCAGACGTTTCTCCAAACAACAGAGGTCAAAATCACGGAGCTTCAAGAACTGCGCGATCGGAAAGGAGAAGCAACTTCACGATTCACAAGTTGTAAGGTGCCTTTTCTCCTTTTCTGGACCAAACAAGTCCTGTTGTAAAGCTTTCGCAGTGGAAGTGTCCATATAACATGTCTGTAGCACGAAGTTTAATTCATGAGACGGAGACTTTGGTTCTAAGAACATGCTCCGACATCCTAAAGACGACCCCAGAACTCCTTCCGCAGAGGTCGGAGGGAGTTTTTGGGCTGGCTGCACAGTGTACAGGGTGACAGGCCAAACTCTGCTGGAGTAGTATAGTACGTTCCAGCGAGTTCATCAGAGTTGTACAGAGAATTTCTTGATGGTTTGGTGTTCCACAAACCAGCAAAAACGATGTGTTTTACACGCGTGCGGGTGTTTGCGTGTGTGTGCCCTAAGGTTTTTGGGTGATGGAGCAAAAGGTCTGGTTGGTTCCTGGAAGATGGAACGAACCATGGTGGATCTCGATCTTCCCAACAGGGGCAAGAATATGTTACTGGCTGGTGGACTTAACACTTGGGACTCTGGCATTGAAGATTGAACAGCCGTTCCGCCTTCCAATGGGTCCGGTGAGAACCAAAACGGCATTCAAGGTCTCAGCTTGCTTGACAAACCACCTTGCTTGGCCACAGGTCAGTCTGAGATCGAAGCTGTTTAAGTAGGCACACACTGAAAGGACCGATCGGAGCCGGACGCTGGCGTAATCAGTCGGAGCAAGAGGACGCTACTAGTAGCTCCTGGCCTTACGACTAGGAACAAGGATGCTACTAGGAGCAAAGGGCATCGCTACGAACGGAGCGTTCGGACGCCACTCAGGCTCTTTCAGAGCCAACGATGCCATCGCCCCCGACGCAGAACCATTCACCACCCAGTGACCACCTTCGCCACCTTCGCGAGCCGCCCACCTTCGCGTAACGCATCACGTGCCACCCGAGACCTCGTGGGCGCTGAGCTGCGCCTCGGTGCCAGGCCGATATGTTGGATTTGGCCATGAACGTCACCGACACGTCTCGCCTGGGCTGCCAGGAGAGGACATGTTGATGTGTTTGGTTTGCGACTGTGTTCTTTAGATTGTTTCTGGAGTGTCTCATGATTCTCATGACTTCACATCCAAGGAAACCAGCTTGGTGTCATGCGATGTTTCGCCAAAGACTTCAGGGAGTAGACATAAATGGATGTCGCACCTTTTGGGTGCTTCCACAAATGACCACGTTGTTGGGACGGAATGGGGCCGTGGAACGCTTTGGAACCGCCAGATCAAGCTGGAAAAAGACCGGGACGATGGCCTCAAGATCACCATCCCGGCCGGCTCTGTGAACCTCCTCAGCTAGCGCGCGCCAGGCGCGCTAGGCGCGCTAGGCGCGCAAACACGCTCGCCCGCGAGCAGTAGCGCTATAGGCCAGGCAACGGTCACCCGCGATGAGCAGCGCTTGACAACCGTCAGGAAATCGCTTGGAGAAGAAAGTATACAAAAATTAAACATGTTCATTGTGATTGGCATGTTGTGAAGGAAGTTGGTTGATCTTTCGTGAGGTGAACTGTGAAGATTGCTTTTGTGTGACTTGATCTCTGGGCTTGGAAGCTATTCGATGATTTTGACGTCCACCTGGAGGGTTTGCTTCCAGGGAGACCTGCAAATTCCAGCTGCGATTCCTGTGAGTTGACAGGGCCAAATGGCTTTGTACCGCTCATGATGGCCCAGCCTTTGCGTAAAAACATGTGGACAAAGTAGACCTGTAAACCCCAACGACATCCCTTTCCAACACCTTCTGGAGATCTTCATCGTGAAATACTTAGATGTATGTGTGTTTGTGGCATTTGTTTGATCAAATGCTCTTGCCTTGCCTGTTGGGTTTGAGCTTAAGGGAAGTCCTCAAGGGTTGCTGAATGATGAACCAGGCAAGTCCAATTTCCATGCTTCGACTAGTTCGATGCTCTAACTCGTCTCGATCAGCTCACTTACCCACCGACATCCCTACCCAATCCGTTTGATGCAAAGATGCCAACCATGGTCGTGCGATCTTCCAGGCACCGTGGCGCGCCAAGTTTTCCGAAGCTGGGAAGCGCCGGCTGTGCATCGCTACATGAAAACACAACCACATGATGTATAGTTAGTTACTATGCAAAAGTAAGATGTTGATGTATGTGTAACTAGTATGCTAACAGTATGCTTTGGCTTGAAGACATGAGGAAAACGGATTCTTCGTGTAAAGAGCCTTGCCAATGTGAAGGTTTTCAGAACTTCAGCTGTTCTGCACTTTGGGCTTAGATTCTAGACATAGTGGTTGCATCCCAATAGATCCGGACCTATTCCAACCTACACTTACGTGGCATGCCTCACCGTTCTAAGCCAATCCGAATACTTTGTTGTGCCTCCAACATTGATGGTAGTACAGACCCTTGGAATAGATTGAGTCATGCCTCCAACATTGGTCTCTTCACTCACCTTCACATAGCAATCATAGGTATCATCTACTCTGCCCCCCAAAAAGAGCGAGTATCCGCTTTGCTGGATCTCTTCCATCGGCGGTAGATCACGCTGTTTGGGAGTTCTGTGTTGCACCGAAATCCTCTGAGAGCCACGCACTTTTGGCACAAAGCTCGCTTCCAGCCTAATCTGACTGAGCCGACGCCGACACTGCACCAATCTCAGCGGTGCGGCGAAAAGATCCCAAGCACCAACAGCAGTATTTTAAGACCTTGTTTGCAGGTGATCAATCTAACGGAATATGAATATCATGTAATCAGAAGAGGATGTATGAAACTCTTGGTTTGCACGGTGACTCGCAGCTCTCCGTTGCACCACTGGCGGCAGTGTTCGGTTTAGATGGCCCGGGTGGCTCACGGATTGTGGCGAGACCGGACCGCAGGAAAAGAGCATCGAAGGAAGCTGGTGGGGTGAAGAAAGAGCCGGTTGAGATGGGGAGGCTTGACACTCAACCTGTGCTAGGCGGAAATCAGGCAGAAACACGGTCATTTTGCTGAAGAAAAAGGAAGCTTATGATAGATGACCACTTAGTCTTTTGCAACACTCCAAAGGGCTGGAAGGCAGGCCTCAAGCGAATTGCTTGAAGTGGCGTTCCACTGAAGACACCGAGATGTTGTGGTTCTGTGGGCTTTGAGCTCCTCCTGAAAGCTGCTTACCCCGCTGACCCAGCTGGTTCCAGTTGCATCTTAAAGATCTTAAATCCATGTGATCCCGTTGGTGTCTCAGATTGAGAGTGACATGAATCTTCAATTCTAATGAGAGCTCATGAGTCATAGCCAGTCTTGAATCAGTCAAATAAACGAGGGAGTTGGATCAGAATCTGTATGGCCCCTTGCCGCCAGATGTGCTCAAGCTGGTTTTGTGACATTCAAAGAAAAGCAACATGTGCACGTGTTCTTCATGTTCTGCGGAAGCATTTGAACAGTGCCAGCACTCCCGATAGACCACAGGGTACACCCGATAGACGAGGATGATCATGCAGTCTTTGTGTGTGCTGTTTGTTCTTGTCGAGAAACATGTGACTCATCCCAAATGTCACAATCATGCCTTTCTAATGCTGAAATGTGTCTTAATTAGGAGTGACGATGGGTCCGGTGCCCGAGTCGGCCTGGCAAGAATCCATGTTTGAAGCCTTTGAAGTCGTGGAAGCTTGTGCGGTGGCAAGGACTTCTTGTTGATCCACTCTTAAGGGGCCTAACCGTGTGCAGAAGCCACTCACCTCAAAGCGGATTCTGAAGGCTCCGAATGTGCCTTTCCCATTCGAGTGCAAAGTGATTGCCATTGTCGGATGAGAAGGTCTGGTCCTGGGCACTCTTGCCCCACCAACAATCCCCACACCCAAGCCATCCAAGCCCTCCAAGCCCTCCAAGGGGCAGGAGGCAATTGGTTTAGACATGTTAAGACCCAAACAAATCCCATTACATCCTTTTTCTTCTCTCGGATCGTTTCGTCTCCCCCTGTAACATCTCCACGAGCTCGCCACCAACACTGGAGACACGAACTTCTATTGTTCGTGCTGGTGAAGAATGCCACCAGAACTGACGCTCGACCTCGATCGTTACCTGACCGTCTCCTTCAGCTGGGGCCGTGATGGCAGGAATGGAGAGTGCCGAGCAGGGACGAAGACCGAAGAGTGAGGGCGCATGGAACAGCAGAAAAGCTCCAAAGGTTATGTTCAGGTTTGACTATCAGAAGTTGACTGGGATTTGGACTGGCCCATGTTCAATGCTTCTCTCATTAATATTGCAGTGTGAGGAAGAATAAGCTTGCTTTGACAGTTGTTGTAGGTTTTTGTGTTTGGTTTTGTTTTTTGCTTGGGGCACCTTCTCAGGAGTTGCCTAGTGTCTCAACACTACTTAGACTCTGAAAGCTCTCGCGTCACAGATTTTGAAGCGACACCTGTCCGGACAACTTTTGGCTCGTGGCAGCACCTGCTTGGTTTTTTTGCCTCGATTCTTCTGCACAAGAAGGCAAGCACCCGACGGAAGGGATTAGTCGAAGGTGATGGAGATTGGATACTGTGTTTTGTTGATTGCATCGCTTTGTGAAATCATGACATTTGATGTTTCTTGAATTTTGTTTGATGTGTAACGCTCGTGAGGCCGCCATGTCGCAGAAAAAGGCGCGGACACGCAGCCAACGATTCTTAGAGTCCAGGTTTCGGATGATTTGCGGTATCGACAAAAAAACACGGTTAAATCCGAGTCCGTTAACTGAAACGGCGAGCTTGCTTCGAACTTGACTGTTGAGCTTCGGTGGTTTCATATGAGCAACGGTCAAGAAATGGTATGGAGCGCAGAAGATGTGAGCCGATACATCTGCAGAATTTGCAAAAAACAAAACCGTGATGTCCTACTAGAACATAAAACATGAACATTGTTCAAGTGTAGTATTTGTTTGACATGTGTTTTTCTATGTTTAGCTTCTTGATTTGAAAGCGAATTCCGCATATTATCATGCCATAGATGTTTCTTTGCATATAAAAGTATAAGAGCTCAAAATGACTTTGCAGCAGTCATCTACTGTGGGCCAAAAACTCAGGGATTTGAATCCTGCCAGTCCAGCACCCTCACTGGAACATATTGCGGTTTGCAACCAACAAAGACGTTCCAGCAACAGCTTGGTGAATGAATGCTCTTAGCTGCTTGCAAAGCTCTTCTAATTTCAGCTGAACTTTGCTGTTGCGGTCGACTTGAGTGAAGTCTGGTTGTTTGTCTCCGTTGAGCGCTCGCGCTCATACATACACCTGTTTGGTTGAAACCTTCTACTAATTCCAAGCTGAAATCAAAAGTCTAAAGTTGTTCAAAACTGAGGGAAGTGGTTGGCCCCCCAAATGAATGTGATGACGTGCGGCATGCG